GCAGCAATTGAGGGCCTAACCACAGTGGCAAATGCAATCTTGGACCTCCAATACTTAGAATAGAAAGTGCTGCTGGATGAGCAACATGGATTCAGGCCGGGCCATGGCACAAGCACACTTGCCGCCCGGCTAACAACGAGAATCCATCAAGTGTTAAATCGCCGAAAAAAGTCTAGGAGCTGTCTTCCTGGACATGTCTAAGGCATTTGACAAGGTTTGGCACCAGGCCCTGATTGCCAAGATGATTAAGGCAGGCTTTCCAGGGTACCAAACGAAGCTCATCAACAGTTACTTGTCTGGACGCAGTTTCCAAGTCAGAGCAGACGAGCAGCTCTCTGCAAGCAGGCCAATGATATAGGAGTACCGCAGGGGGCGGTTCTGGCCCATCCAAGCCAAACTGCAGAGACGGCTCAACAAGCTCGTGAAATGGAGCAAGAACTGGAAAATCGAGTTCAATCCTGCAAAAACACAAGCCATAATATTTACAAGAGGCAGGAAGAATCCACCCAGAGCCCTACTAGAGCTTGCAAGACAGAAGCTACCATGGAGGTCCAAGATAACCTATCTTGGACTTACATATGACAAGCGTCTAGTATGGCACGACCATRTGGCAAACACCATCGCCAAGGCAAGACTCCTGCTCCATGCCTGCTATCCTCTGAGGTCAGGTAAACTCTGTCTACGAACTAAGGCTAGAGTTTACAAGCAATTGATACTCCCGGTACAGACCTATGGATCTCCTGCGTGGTCCATAGCCAGCACCCCGCAAAAGCAGAAACTGGCAGTATTCCAGAATCAAATACTGAGGATAGTGACAAAGGCCCCATACTTCGTCAGAAATACCACCCGGCGAAGAGACCTGGATACAGAGGACCTGCTGGACCACATCCGGAACCTAACGTCAGGGTTCCTGGATAGGATCCGGCACAGCAAGAATCCCACTGTCAGGGTTTCTTGCACCTAGAAGTTCAACTGTGACCGCAGACCTCTCCCTGCGGACACAGTCTAAGAAGAAGACGTGGACCACATGCGATGCACCACATCGCGGACCATGGGCTAACTTTAAGTTAGTTATAGGAAGCAAGAGAGGCTGTTAGGTTTAGGTTTAGATTAGGTTTGTTAGGTTAATTTAGATTAAGTCATATGATGATATGTCTTAAGATACATAGAGTGTTAGACACTCTAACGATGTTAGCACTAAAGATCCGTAGAATAAGTAGCAGTAAGAAGTTAGTAAACTTAGCTGAAAAATAAATATGTTCCAACACAGTAGTTGAACCAGTCCTTGCAAGAAAACCTTGCAAATCCCGGTGTTAAATCTATATTAAAAGTTTCCAAAACAAAAACGGAAAATGAACTTAAATTCAGCGAATTATCAGTTATAAAGAAAATTACAGTCCGGATGAAAAAAAAAATAAAAATTATAAAATGCAATTTTTAACGAGCAACTGAATATAAAACGTTCAACAACATAATGAATATTCAGTATTTGAGTCTCTACTTCTTAACAGCGCATTTACACGTCTATCCATTCCAATAATCAAATTATTGATTACTTCCTGAGGGATATTTTCCCATTCCTACGTAGCAGCAATGATAAGTTCTTGGGCATTTCTTGGTGGATTATTCCGATTGAAAATGGCTTTAGATCCATCCCAGACGTGTTCGATGGGATTCATGTCAGGTGACATAGCCGGCCAATCTAATCTTGTGATGTTTCGGTTTTCTAATACTTCTTGAACAGCTCTGGTGCGATGAGGCATGGCATTATCATCCATAAAGATGAACTGGTCCCCTAATTCATCACGTACGAGTATAATTATAATAAAAATAAATTAATAGAAAATAAAAAACGCAAAGTAAATTTGCACCTGTCATCGACCCCGATGTGTGAATAAGTGGGGTCCTTCTATTGAACATAATACCCCCCAAAGCATTTGTGTTTCACCGCGATATGGAGCAAGTGCATCGGCTGTATGAAGCCTATTTTGGCGTCCAAACTCTTACTCGGGAATCATCGCTCACTAATGCAAACCGCGATTCATCGGTAAAGCGCACATTTCTCCACTCTGCCAATCGCCAGTTTCGATGATTTCGGGCCCATTGTAAACGGGCCCTTCGGTGACGATGAGTGAACAAAAAACTCTTAAAGGCCTTCTGGACCGCAATCCTGATTGTAAAAGTCTTCTGCGGATAGTAGCACTGGATATCACACGGTTATACGTTCTCTGGAACTGAGATCTTAGTGCCGGTAGGGTGACTGAGCGCTCTCTACGGGCTGATTGGGAAATATAGCGATCTTCTTGTATCGTGGTAACGTGAGGGGTACTACTTCGAGGTCTGCTGTTCACTTAACCAGTCTCTTCATAGCGTCTGATTGTTCTGCTAACTGTGCTTCTGAGAAAGTTCAGCCTATTGGAAATATTGTGTCTAGGTAGGACATCGTTGGGTAAAGGAATGGAATTTAACCAGAAGCATGTCGAAAGCAACGATTTTATTGATAATACTGTACCGTGGATGGCCGAGTATCAAACTCTTTCTTCTGTTTCCAACTTTTATTTAACTCGGTATCATCTTAACTACGGAACAGGAACAAACTAACTTCAAAAATTACCGTCAACTTCACAAACAATAACAATAACAGACGGAAAACTCGTTTTTCCGACTCGCGGGGTTAAATCTCTTCTGCACCCGGTCGTTGCTGTCACTTCACTCCCCCCCATGGTTCTCGTCGTTGCTTATATGGTTTCCTCCACGTAACCCAGAAGGTTCTCGAAATCTCCAGCCCAGGTGCGAAATTTCCCGCTTGTCAGTGTCATATTTGACAGTAAATGGGCCCCAAACGGGGCTCCCATTTACCGAAATACCTTGAATTTCGATCCCCCATTCCAAAGGTGAGTACCCCAGGCCATTTCCGTTACACTGCCCCCCTTCTAAACCCTGATCGCCCCAATTAGGTAACTCCTGGATCATCGTTATATCTGGCCAAACGGTGAATGTGGACAACTTTAAATTTTGCCTGAGGGCTCTTCTGGATCCGATATGTGA